CGCCGCACGCGACAGCGCGGCAGCCTGCTTTGCCTCCGAGCGCAGCTTCACATCGGAGGGCACCTTCCACACGTAAAGCGTGTGTGGGCGTGGCCCTCCGCTTCGGAAGAGGTAGAGGTATAGTCCGCTCTCGGGAATGGCAAGCTGCGTTCGGAAGGCGTCGCGCACGTGCTTCTTCACGCTGGGTGTGGAAGCCTCGTCGACGCCCATGATGGCGTCGTCTAGCCGTACCAGCTCGTACTCGGTGACATTGGCGAGCTTGGCCCGCAGCCTCGCGTACATGGCGAGGCAGTCGTGCGGTGCGCAAGGCTCCTTGAACTCTGAGCCAACCACATCCTCCTCTCGGTCGGGCGCGCGAAGAGGCACGGTCTCCTTGCGTGCCGTCTCCTTGGCCGCTGCGTTCTTGTCCATCGCGGCCGCGAGCTTGACCATGCCGTCGGCGAGCGCCGAGACGTCGGACATGAATGGCTGCCAGCGTGATGTCTCGGACCACGGTGCGCAGCCAATGAAGCCCGCAATGGCCTCGCCGTACGAGCGCAGCTTCTTGGCCGAGAGGCGCGAGTCCAATGGCTTTGCGCCGTGGTGGTCCTCCGAAGGAGTCTCATTGTTGAGCGCCTCCGTCTTGAAGCGGCGTGGCACGACGAGGTGGACGCGGCCGGCCAGTCGCAGCGGGCTCGGATCGGAGTCGTCAAACGGAAGCACGTATTGCAGACCCGCCGCGATTGCAGAGAGAATGCGCTGGCCCGAGGCATTCGCATCGAGGACTGGAAAGCTCAAGCCGTCTCGCTGCAAGTTCGACAGCAGCGCGCGAAGGAGGCGGTAATCGTAGCGGTCGCCGTCGGGCGCAGGCGGCAGCGCCCTCGGCGTCTCGGCCTGGGTTTGCATGAGTCGCGTCAGCACATTTGGTAGCATGCCGGGGGTAGCAGGGGAATCCTCGGCGGTCGCCAGCACTTTGATGTTGCAGCCAAACATGTCTCGCAGAGTGGCGACTGTCGTCTCGTCCAGATCCTCGTTGTCGAGGACGGTGCCGGTGCCCGAAAACTCCGTCGTCCGAAAGCACTTGACAGTGCTGGCTGTGAGCTTGCCAGCAGCAATCTCCGGCTCGGCTCTCTCGAGTGCGTCGCTGACGACAAGGGAGAGAGCCACCTCCGCCTCGTGCATGCGGCCCGATTGGTGATGCTTCTTGCCAAGCTCGACGCGAACAACGACGGGCACCTTCGGCGCCATGCCGGAAGGGGCACGCGCCTCTGAAGATCGAGGCGCGTGGCTCAAAGCCGGCGCTGCGCGGGTGCGTGCCCATCGCCGCTTTTGGTCGCCGAATTACATGTTTTGGATGCCGTTTGGGGTCACTCACACCCGCACGAGGTAAGGCGGCGCGCAGCGCCGCGCTCGCAGGCTGTTTTTGACGTTTCTAGATTTTTGTTTTCAGTCTAGGGGGCCCGACCCCCTCAGAGGCGGCGGGCGGGCGCCCACTGACCCAGAGATCAAAAACGCTCGGCCCGAGCCTCTTCTGTGCTCTGATGGATTTTCACTCGGTCGCTCCCCTAGCCGGATGCGGCCGCAGGGAGCAGCGGGTCGGGCGCTGCGAGCAGGTCGTGGTAGTCGACGTCGTCGTCGGGGATGCGGTAGCGCGTCGGCTCGTGGACCAGCATCTTGTCGATGACCATGTTCTGGAAGCGGTGCAGCGTCTCCTCGAACCGGAACGAGAAGCGGCCGCCGGTGTAGAGGGGGGTGCTCGTGCCCTGGTGCACATTCTTGACGATGTCGATGTCCTGCGTGTTGATCAGGTCCCAAAACTGAAACATGTCCTCAAGGACCGCCTCGCCGCCTGGCGCGTCGAAGGCGGCGCGGTGCGAGAGGAACGTCGCCTGCTCGACGGTGCGCCCCGCTCCGTGCGGTGAGAGGATGACCCGAAACAGCGAGTCGGGGTAGAGGGAGAAGAAGGTGTTGGGGAAGAGGGCGACGTGGTACGCCATGCGCTGGTGGCGCGGCCGGAGCGTCGGAAAGGGAGGGATCCTGCCGGGGTCGATGGGCGTCCCCCCCCGCGAGAGAGGCTCCGTGGCAAAGCACATGTACATGCCCCTCCCTTGGTGCCGGGGTGCTCGTCGACGCCGCTCACGTTGCAGAGTCCGGGTGGACCGCCGGCAGGTGGTAGTACTCGAGGTAGTTCTCGACCAGGAGCTTCCAGTTGGCGGGCACGTCGTACTGCTTGCGCTTGTACGGGACGAGCCCGGGCGTGCCCACGCCAAAGCTGCTCTCGTACTCCGAGAGCGAGGGCAGCAGGTCGCCCAGCCACTCGGAGAGCGGAGGCGCCTCGCCTGGAGGTGGGCGGTGGCGGGAGGGTCCGCAGAGGCCGGGGTGGGAAGCACGCCCAGAGGAGCGGCGGGGGCAGGCAGAGACATGGCGGGGGCAGGCAGAGACATGGCAGAGCCAGAGGCGGGACTCGCCGTTGACGTTGACAAAGATGAGCCCGAGCGCCGAGTCCGCCCTCACGGGGAAGAGGCCGTTGCGCGACTTGTCGAAGCCCTTGACGTGCGAGGTGCAGAACTGCGGGAGCAACAGATCAGTGTGTGCGTGTA